AATGCCTTGCCTCTGTACGGGTCTGTCCAACTTTTGCATGATTTGCTGAGCATTTGGCCATTTAAAGGAAGAGTTAATATCAGTTTTATCGAATGTAGACAACCCTTGTGAGCCAAGACCTGCTTTGATTTGGCTTGATGATATAATAGGGAAGAGTGAACGACTCAGGCAAATTAACTTGCTTAAATTCAGTGAACAAAAGCATATCTGTAAAGGATTTCTCTAATTTATCATTGATTCGGGGGTTCATTAGGATGTTAGTTTCAAAAGTCAAATAGGCCAAATAATACATTGAATCACTTGCTTCAGTGTGTACCAACATGCCCCCATAAATCACATACATAAGCCTACCAAAATAGGAAATTATTGTCCTATTTAGTGTTCTGGGCTTCAAACCTCAAATCTCTATTCATAAGTCAATCCGTAGAGTACATACAAAATCGGCTTTTGAGCAAGCGCAGCACTGATGCTTTTGCTCTTGTTGGCTCGTGTGCCCTGAGAACTTCATTGACCAGTGAACGCTTTTCATTAGGTCTTATAACCCAGGTACCACTCGATAGTGACCCTAAACGTTGTCAACTCAACCCGATTGTTACCCTTTTTCACGATTACTCGATCTTTGATTATTGGCTTAGCGTCTGGGATGCGCATTAGGAGTAGCAATACATTTCGGTGCATCGCTACTATAGAAAATCTACGCAAAATTGGTCTACTTAACAAGCTCTGTTTTACATTTTTTCCCATTTTAAGACGATCCTGATGTTGACGCGTTCTCACCTACTCATACTAAGTTAGTTAAATTCTTACAGACATTTATTACAGCACGAACATGCCCAGTCATTTGCATAATTCAGAAACTAGAACTATTAGCGTCAGAGGAGAGAAAAACGAGCCATAAAGTGAAATGAGGCTTGGATTATCAGATTCAACGTAAAAAGCAACTAATGAGATTTGATTTTAACAATGTTAAAGACTTTGTGATCTTGATCATCTTAGCCAAGTGATTGAAAATAAGAGTGTGAATCATCTCTATATTCATAGTTTAAGTTATGATCCAGTGATCAACATATGAATTAAAATACAGGATCTCACTTTTGGCTAATAGTTGGGGCTAATAGTTCTATTTATTAGGGACAGGTAACATG